GCGGGGGGTGTAACACTACACACCAATCAACCTTTTAATTTTTGGAGATAGTTTCTAAATTTGTACTGGTTACACAACGAAATTTAAACACTGATTAAAATATTCGTAACAAATAAAAAAAAAGTAAAAAAGACATATATCAATACAAATAAAAAAAGTATCTTTGTCATTAACATGTCTTCAGATCCAAACCATACTAAACAACAACTCTCACATTTTGTCATTGAAAAATAAATTGTTTTTTTTATATTGATTCAGCAATTTTTAAAAATGCTTCTTCATTAAAGATGAAGAGGATAATGAGGATAAAAAAGATGCTACCGCTTTCTTGATTAAAGGCGAAGAAGATAATGAGGATAAAAAAGATAAAAAAAAATCTTACCGCCCAAAAAAAAAAAAAACAAGAATTTGCTACTGGGATTACTGAGTAAGTTTTTATCATAAGAATGGTGGTAGTTATCACCACTCGTCGTCACTCTAGTTAACTAATAATAATACTTGTCATTATTCACGTTCTTTTTCTTACAATATGACAGTCAAGTTAAAAAGGATAAAGATTGTTCATCTCAACAACGAGATCAAGATCAAGATCAACAACAACAACAACAACAAGATCCTTTATCAATTTATTTAAATATGATAACCCATCAATAGATGTGAAGTTATCAGAAAAACAACAATCCGTTTATGACTCGTGGTCAATAAACGTGAGAATGTCTTTTCACTGGTTCTGCAGGAACTGGAAAAAGTCTTCTACTATTAAAAATCATCATAGCTCTTAAAAACATCTATGGAGTTGAAAAGATTGCCATAACTGCTTACAACCAGCATAGCAGCAGTTAATATCACTGGCACAACTTTACACTCTTTTGCAGTCATAGGACTAAACGCTGAATCAACAAAGGAGCTTATTGAAAAAATTAAAAAATCAAAAATCCATCATTTCAAATGGCAATCTATTGAAGTGTTGGTTATTGATGAAGGTATAATTGGTTTTTTTTTTATCTGATTGATGGAAAATAATAATAATCATCATTTGATTATTTATTAATTATTTAATTATCTTATAATTTATTATATAGTCTCAATGCTTGATGGGGACTTATTTGATAAACTGGAAGAAATTGCACAAACTATTCGCAATAAACATAGACCATTGGTGGAATATTAGTAAGTTATAATAATAACATATGTTATATTGATTAATATTTAATGATTAATGATTTTTGGAGGTGGTTTTTTTAATGTTTACACAAACATATTTGTATATTTTATTTATTAGTTAATAACCACAGGTGATTTTTTCCAACCACCACCAGTTTCTAAAGGCTGTAATGTTAAATTTTGTTATGAATTGGACTCATTGGGTAAATGTATAAAACATATAATAAAATTATCAACAATTTTTAGATGAAGGAGTCTGGCAAAAAAATAGATATTTATTATTATTATTAATTCATCTATTTGATAAATTGATTTAATTTTTAATTCTAATTCTATAGATTTTATTGGTATGTTAAATGAGATTAGATTGGGCATTGTGACCAAAAAAACATTGGAAATCATGGATAGATTAAAAACTCCACCACAATATCCCAATGATGGAATTCAGGTTACAGAATTGTAAGTTGATCAATATTCATGATATTAATATATATAATATACTTATATAATAATATTTGTTTGTTTGTTTGTTTGTTAAATTACAATATATTCAAAAACTGATAGTTACTTGTGCAAATCTTGTGTTTTAAGTAAAATTCAGAATAAACCACATATATATCATGCCAAAGACTATGAACAAGAAGAAATTGGTCAATTAAAAACGCTTATTAAAGGTTGCTTGGTGCCAAATAAATTGAAATTAAAATTTGATGCACAAGTAATGCTTATTAAAAACATCAATATAGGATTTAGCTAATGGGAGTAGAGGTATTATTATTATTGGTTTTTGTTCGAAAGCTATTAGAAAACAATATTATAATGGTGACGATGAGATTGTGGAGTCTGACAAGGAAGATGAAATATTGCCAATAGTTAGATTTACTGAAAATAAAGAATGGGTTGTTTTTGAAGCTGAGTGGAGACTAGAAACTGTTGGTAATGTTGTATTAGCAAGTAGACAACAAGAGGTATTTTTGTATTTATATGTATGTGTATAGTTTTTTTTTTTTGTAATATATATATGCATGTATTTATTATATATTTAATGTAAGATTAGACTCCTCTTATACTTGCTTGAGGCCAAATTCTGGAAAGAGTAAAAATTGATTAAAAGAAGTTGAGAAAGGTATTTATATATATTCACAATAATGATAATATGACTATTATTATAAATAAATAAATAAATTATTGTTGTTTTTTTTTTTGTAAATAGGGCAAGCATATGTTGCTTTGTCTCGATAGAATCATTGCAGGTTTTAACTTCACAAGAGAAAAAATAACGGTTCATGAAAAAGTAAAGAAATTTTATGAGTCATTAACAGATTAATGAATTGAATATTAAATATTTTATTATTTTATTGATATTGAATTTTTATTATTATTTCTTTTGTTTATTTTTTTAATGTTATATCAACACCATTACTAAAATAATTGAATTTATTCGCTCTTTTACACAAAAACAAAAGATTATGATTTTACATATATAACCTGCATATCCTATATTAATATTGTGAGATTGAAATCTGCTTCTTACAGTAAATCTCAATATTTTATTTATAATAATATCTATACAGTTATAATCGAATGCTCCTTGATATTTTTAATCTCAATTGCAATTGCTTTCCTTGTTTGTGTTATTAATAGCTCTTTGTCTATTAATTCACATTTTTATTCCCCTCCAGTAATGTTTTCTCAGCGGTACTTTTTGTTATCCGCCTGAGCCATCACGTTCCCAATATATTTATAATATATTTATAATATCCGCCTTGGTATGTTGGGCTTTACTCTTTTGATTCTTTAGCCTCAGTTCGTCAGGCTTTGCTCCTTTGTATTGGCTGGCCTCACCTAGCTAGGATTTCACTATTCTTAGGCCTTGACCTAAGCTACTCTAAAATAAAAATAAAAGAAAATAAATAGATATATACAACTATACTTATCAAAAGCATCCATCTGGTAAAATAATAATAATAATAATAATAATAATAATAATAATATAGTGTCAAATATAAAATGAGAGATAAATTATTATGCACGGGATTAGTATGAATTCATTGTTAGAGATAGATTTATTATCATTATGAAAATATAATATCGAAGACTACACAAAGACAAGGGGACAGTGTTATTTATTAAACAACTATTAATATGATTGATTAATTAATTGATTATAAAGATGATTAAGATTATGATTTATAATAATGATACATGAAGTTAAGAAAATTACAACATTATGTATGTTAAAGGTTCTATCATCTAGTTCTCCGATTTCTTTGAAATCCTAATTTATTCTAATTAAATGTATCACTTGAACCTTCTGTGTAGAATTATTTTCAAGTTATTTCTAAAGTGATCCAATCATTTAAATTCTTTTGTTTAAGTTAAATCTGAAGATTAAAGAATTAGAATGTTAGGATGTTTATAACTCCATTGTTTATTATTATTATTTTATTGTAATACTTGATCAGTTTTTCCGATTTTATTTTCGTAAATCATTTCCCGTTTTACAACACAATTGAATTCTTATAATCAAATTTGTCATGATTAAAAGTGATCCTCGACAATGATAACAACAGCAACAACCCAGACAACAATAATATTACAACAATCACAGATGACACAGATTGATGACGTCGATTCATCTTCTACACCCACATCTACATTCGTCACTCTTACATCTACCACCACTACACCCATAACCGCTCCAATACCAATAGAAGCTTTAAATAACAACATGTCGGATTTGTCAGCATCAACAATTGAATCAACTTCAACAATAGTTTCGGAATCTACACTTGTTCCTGCACCAACAATAACATCAACAACTGCTAATCAAAGAAATTTAGAAGTTCCATCAGAATTAACACCATCTCCGATAACATCATCTAAAACAACAACATTGTCATCCAAATTCACTCATCTAGAATATCCCCTTCTTCTTCTCCCGAATCCTCGAAATCATTATCATCGGTGTATTCTGAAATACCATGATAGAACCTTTTAGAATACCTTTTAAAAAAATCACGGACCCTTAATAAAACCTAAATCTCCATCATCAACAACAACAGAAGCAAAAACTTCCCCTACTTCTTCAAAACCATTAAATAAATCTAAAATTTCTGGCAAATCTATTCAATACGCGTCATACTTTTTTAAGACTTTTTGATATGTGTTATTTTTATAGTGAAATTTTTGCCTGCATTAATATCTTGCATGAAAGCAATTACATATTTATATATTAATATATAATAAAATCAATTTTGACCAGATATGCAAATGGTCAAATTGGTTTCGGTTATGTGATTTAGAAAAATATCCATATAAATTATGTAATGTCTTTTCATATGATACTTCATCAGAAGCATCTTTTCATGAAGCATGAATGATTCATTTTTGTAAAACTTGCTGCAACACTACTTTATAACCACTCATTACACTATCACTTCTGAAATGAATTATATTGTTACAAGGTATCTTATTTGGGTTACAAAACGGTAAATATCCTACAATTGGTATATTATTAACAACATACTTCCACAATTGCTAAATATTTATCATGACCAATAATTGAAGAAATTAATTCTTCAAATATTAACTGTTTTATCACAAAGGCTGTGCTATCTAAAAATTCAAAACCAACCATAAAATTTCCATACTTTGATTTGGATTTCAATGGCTTTTCTAATGAAAGGGGTTTTAAAGTAGAAGTTTTATCACTAATTATTAATTCTTTTCACAATTTGTAATGATATTAAACTACATAAATCAGGACAAATATTTAAGGAAAGATTTTGTTTAGACGAAAAAGAACATTCCTCATTGATGAAATAATTGCCAATTTTTCTTTGTCTGGATGTTCTTCTGTCAACTCTATTAAATTCACTTTGGCTTGATTTAAACTTTTGTACCTGCTGCAAATTTTGTGGTCCCATTTCTACTTCTACAAAGTTTACAAAAAAGTAATTTCATTAATTCCTTCAATATCTAGTCATAAGAATTTGTACTCCCTTTAAAAAAACTGATCTCGTGATTTAAAATTCCATGTTTTTTCTGGAAAAATCATGGAAAGATTACAGGGGAAAGATAGACTTTGCCACTATTGCAAATTCGTGGAATTTTCAGGAGTTGAAATTCAAATAACAGACTATTTTTTTATAGGGATTACGAATAGAAGCTCTAGCTCAACTCAATTATAATAAAGATTTTTGCATTTCGTTTTAATTCTCTACAAAATATCTGAACAAACATTGTGAAATTTATACAATCAAATTTCGTTTCAACGAATCTTGTTTCAACGAATTATAATTAAATTCACGTTACTACAAATTTTTAAAATTTATAAAATTAAATTGAAACATGATTAATAATTTGGTATAACGAATTTTAAATGCAATTTTCTTATGTGTTCCATAGATTCGTTGAAACAAGGTTTAACCGTATGCATATATTCAGAACCTAAAAAACATTCTTTATTAGAAGCACAAGTACTGTTAAAACATGGGATCTTGAATTGTTTTCATTTGAAATTTTTTAGTCTGTCGTAAAATTATTGACGATGATTCAAATGTTCTAAAACTCAAGTACGTTATACAATTTATTAATGTTTATTATTGTCTTATAATTAATTATTCAATTATTTTAAATGGTCTGCAAGATCGTGATTTATAAAAAAATGATATTAAATTTAGTGCTTTTTATGTTAGAATATTCGTGACGAACCAAGTTCGAGCCAAGTATAAACTCGGATTGTTCGGAGCTTTAATTATGTCGAAACTGGAAAATGAACTAACATGTGGATTCGTCAATCGGTCCACTTTCAGGAACAAAAAAAAGACAAAGATTGAGTAACAGTCCTACTTACATCCAATGTAACTGGGACAACCTTTGCTTATACACAAATATCAAAATTCATGCTCATTGATTACTACTATTGGAATAGTAAGGCTTGGATGCAAATACCAATCTGGAACGATTATCTTAAAAACTAGATAAAAAAATGCATAACGCAGATAGAAATATCATATTGCCTGTTGACAGTGTACTAACACATAATTTGGTTGAAGGTTACAATTAACAAATATAACCATGCGATGCAGGAATAATCCATGGTTTCAAGGTTTGTAACTTAATCATCTAATTTAAACTAATTGTTTACTTTATATTATATTATAAGATTCATTATAAAAAAATACTATATGTTTCAAATCGCATTTTCATTAAAACCTACTGCTATAACAAATGCTTGGGAAAATGTAATACCAACTGCCATTATCAATTGTTGGAAGAAAATTGGAATTCTTCCTTTGGAAAATGAAACGCTTAATGAAATTGAATATCCAACAAATATCGTTGAAGAAATTTCAAATGCAGAAAGAGATGAATATAAAATATACAAAGAACGATCGCGTGATTGAATTCTAATGTAATAATCAAAATCTTTAATTCATAAAATATAAATTTAATAAACATGATAGTACAATTGCATCGGAAAAATAAATCTTTAATTCATGCAAAGTTCCTTTAAAAATCTTAATTGAAACATTGTTATTTGATTTTTATTGAATTAGCTTTATGGTTTTTTTTAATGCTGTTGATTTCTTTTCTTCTTGTTCAGTATATCTATAAAATAATAGTAATTATTTACATCATATAACATATATTTCATAAACAATAATCGATTTATTATTATTATTTTTGTTAAAAGGTATAAGGCTTCTTCTTCAATACAGCTAAATAAATCTATAATTATATCATATATTTCATATTTATTTTTTATATAAATATTTGTACTTATAACAGAATTATTAATATTTTTATATAAAAAATATTCCCTATAATGGATCTTTCTATAATGGAACTTGCTCTATAACAGACTGAGAATTCATATAAATTATTAATGTAATTATAACAGATTCTCTCTATAACTGAGCCAAATAGTCTGTTCGTTATTATTATTACTATACAACTATATATATACGTTGTATGAGACAAAAGAAATTTTTTTATATTAAAGAAACATTCGAATCCATGGCTCCTCCATAGTAAATAAAATTGAGCCTACACAGAAATTTAAAAGGCAACCTTTAAGCAACTGTGAAATTAATCAAACTATCCATATGGTCCATTTGGCACTTATTAGTGGAATTTTATAAGAATGAAAAAGAATTTATTATATATACGAATAGTTGTAAATACAGATGAGAATGTGAAAATTATAAAAATTTTTCTGATATAAATTTGACAAAATGACATATTATTCTGGACCAAGCATTTTGGGCTTTGATGATAAAATATTTGTTGGATAATTGCGGTAGGCGTTTTATTTTTTCCGTCTAAAATTGTTACTAATTGTGTTACAAATTTTGTAACAGCACTTGGTGATTTAAACTGGAATCAGTTTTTATTTAATGGAAGCAATAACTATTATTGAATTTGTTTTATATCTTGCTTCTATATATCATATAGATCACATAATTATCGAAGAAGAATGATGAGATGTGTTTGGTGCACTAATATAACACCTTATTAAAAAAAATGAGTCATCAGCACAGAAGGCAGAAGAATTATCTGACAAAGAATGGTCAAAAATATTTGGAGATAAACATTTGAAAAAACGTAACAAAATAAATAAATGAATAAACATTTGTTTTTATATTACTGCTCAATCTCTAGTAAGTTCATTCGAATTAAAAAATAGATTCCTTCGTTTTTGTTTATTTTGTTATTTAATTACAGTCATCATTTATGTTTTCTAATTAGTTGATCTCTTTTTTGAAATTGTTCATTTTCTTTCTTCTCACATTATTGCATCTGTTCCTTCATCAAGTATTTTATTATCCATTCGGTATTCATTTCTTTTTTGTGCCCTATAATAATAACAAAGAATATTAAATTTGGTCGGTGTTGGTGATAATGTTGGTTACATATAAAATTTTCAAGAAATATTTAAAGCCTTTATATAATATTCTTATAGGTTTTTTTTTTTTAACGACGTAATTTAAATTGATTGATATGCAAAAAAACGTGAAATTTTTTTAATATTAAATGCATAACCCCCTTGTTTTACCATAAATGATATTCGTTTGGATTTACTTTATATTTATACATAAACAATCGATCTTGCTACGTCATGCGTATATATATATACAAGTATTGTATATAACACTATTGGGATGTTCACAGTGGTGTCATATAAGAAATGCGCACATTTTGTGATTACTAAAAAAATTTTTATATAAAATAAAAACAATAAACAATGTTCATATGCCAAAATTTTGAATATTTGGTCCATTTAATAAAATCATTAAATGATTATTCAATGTATTAATATTCATTTTGTTTCTCAATTTGTTTTTTATCAATTTCATTTCAAAATATTCTTTCCGCGTGTTCATTAGAAAAAGGTATAAGGAGTGCTATTTTAATAATTGTTGAATTTGGGTAATCGAAAGAAAAATTATCATTTGTATCTAAAATATCTTTCCACACAAATCCTTTTCAGTGGACGTGCTTCAACCCTATTATATTAATGTTATAATTATATGATAATCTCATTTAGTAATTAATGATGGTATTTTATTATCCATACACCCATACGTATATAAAGTATTACACGAAAACTTAGTCTCAATTTTTTTATACAAGTCAATAATAATAATTTTTCAAATGCCAAGGCTCAACCCAATTTTTAATTCAAGAAAAAAAAAAGTTAGTCAATAGGTTTTGAAGCTCGAGTCAACAATAAAAACAACGATTTTTGTTTTAGATGATCTGCACCATATACTTCCAATCAATTCATGACTATCTCGTTTTAGTAACGTTTCTTTGCCCCCAAATCCCTATAAATATACTAATTCCCTTTTTCAACAAATTAAAAAAAAAAAAAAAAATGTTTTCAACAACATTACCACTTGAACTTTTAATCGAAATATTTAAATATACCGAAAATGATGATGATTATAAAACATTATATTCTTTTATTCTTGTCAATA